GAAGGAAGCCTGTTTAAAAGAAGCAGAGATTAGAAAGGACAGGTGGAGATAAGATTGTAGTTTGGGGGGAGTTAGGGAGGAATTGAGGAGGCGGAGGGATAGGGGGATGAGGGGGGTGTAAACTGTGAGAATCGATTTTCACTACAAAGAGAAGTAAAAGCAGTGCTTTGCTTGGCTTGTCGCTGATGACACAAAGTTAAACCTTTGGAAAACTGTGGTAGTTGATTCTACATCCTGATAATCATGACGGAGAATGTTAATGAAATTCGATGTTGTATGGTGTGTGCTGCTACATTTACAATTTAGAATAAGAATAAAACTGGTAACTGTAAAAAAATCTCATTTACTTACGTTGTTTTTTTTAATTGAGGTGACCACAATCCTGAGTGTGTGTCTATGTATAGTAAGTATGTTCAGAATTTCCATTATATACCTATGTGAAAAAAAATCCTCTTTTTAGTGAAAGACTGAAAAAAAACATGTAGAGACAGGGTAGCATATATAATTTTATTTTGTCAAGACCAGTATCCTACACATTATAACTTCCTTTTTTTGCGTATGACTTAGGTTTAGTTATAGTTTTTGTTAAAATCTCTTCTCATGAATTCCTATGTAAGTGCATTTTCACAAATGCAATTGTGCTCGGAGCTTTTTCAAGATATTACAGCATGTAGCTGCGTGTGAAAAAGCAAGTGTCCAACCTTATCAGATCAGATATTAGGCAGTTTTGCCATCAGCCCCTTAGTAGAAAGTCTGTGTAATATATGATTGTACTGCATATGAGAATAGGTGAATCACTGCAAGCATTTGCTTGCTCCTTGCAGGCTCTACACAGGTCTAAATCAAATAGAGCACTTCCAGCATCTGGGCAGCATCTGAAGCAGACTAACTCCTGTTAAGCACTGCATGCAAGAAGGTGCAATGTCCTGACCTAATTCTCTTGACACTGTCAAGAGTTCATGTGTCCATGTGGAAATGGGTTTTTATCACTGGCTGTACCATGTTCTCATTCAGGAACCACGGGGATTCAATATTGTGTATGGTGTCATAGCAGTTTCCCAGGTGGAAAACTCAGACTCAAAATTGGTTGATTATCAATCAGAACCTCACACTAGATAGATAAAAGGGCCATGGGTCAGTACACTTGTTTAAGAACGTTTCCCCCTCTGGCAAGCTTCGCTTTCGTGTGATGTTTCTGGCTTAACCCAGATCAGAGATAGTGCTGAGGCAGAACAAATGTGTTTAGGATTCTTTATATGCAAAATGTGTTTTAATTGATTTATATTGGTAAACACAAAGAAATTATTCTCTTCTTTGTCAGTTGCCTGTTTTATATGGTATATTTACTTTAATTTACTATAGTTCTAGTGTAAATGAGCATCTAAAAATGCTTTGTTAATACATTTATTGTGCCTTTTTATTGAAAATAGAAAATCATGGTTGCCAATATTAAGTGCAGTGGCAGTAGCTTTTCAATTTTGAGTTAGATTTTGGAGGGCCAAGTGACAGGTATAATTCTCAACACGTCCTGCGCTTGCCCTGAGGTGTCTTTCTGTTAGGATATGCCTGAAACACTTCACCTAGTAGGTGCCCAGTAGGCATCCTAGTCAGATCCCTGAACCACTTTAGCTGGATCCTTTGGATACTGAGAAGTAGCTGCTCTACTATGACCCCTTTCTGGCTGAGCTCCTCAACCAATCTCATAGGCTGAGCCCAGAGGAAACTCATGGGCATAGGTGAGAGTAGGAACATAGATTGCCTGGTAAGCTGGCAGCTTTCCTTTTACGCTCAAGTCACTCCTCACAACAAACAGATCTGTACAGCAGCCACGTCAGTGCTGACACTACAACAATCAGTCTGTCAGTCTCCGACTCCATTCTCTGCTTGGGGTAACAACTCATCCTTCTAGGTGCATTGCCCTTTTCTGGCTGAGAACCATGGCCTCAGACTTGTTTTTGTTATGTTTTAATCCTGCAGAGAGGAGATCCTGAGGCCGCCAAACCAGAAACCTTGCTCTACTTGCCTGCAACTAGAAAGTCAATACACAAAAGTTGTGAACAGGATCAGTGACAAAGGACAGTTTTACTCAATAAAGGACTTAAAATACCCTCAAACAGCCTCCGAAATTATTGTGAAGAATATGTCAACGCCTCTCTAAAACAATTTAATGGAAACATTATCAAAGTACTATTTACTGTTTGACTACCGTTTTTAGATTATACTATTAGGCAAGCAATATTCAACAGAGGGGATATATGTGACAGTGATTCATTTCTAGTATTTCAAATCTATTTAGCAGTAAAATATAGAATCAAAGTTTACGAGCTACTGTATACATCTTAAAGAAGGTTTTTCCTAACATCTCAATGAAAATCAAGAATCATTCCAAGCAAATATTTCAGTGTACACGTGGTCTCCCAACTAATGTTTAAAGATAGTCTTAAAAACATCTGAAGGTGACCTGTAAGCTCATATCTAACCATATTTCACCACTTGGACTGTTTCACAAAATAAGAAATCCTGAATATCCAGAGGGAGAAAAAGTAACAGCGTGAAAGAGTCTGATAAGACAGAAAACTGTTCAGAAGCTTAGTTCTGACAAACAGAGAAAAATAGAGAGTACAGTAAATTGATTTCACGATTTTATCTCAGTAACTTTAAAGGAAAAGTTTTGAAAGGGTTGAAATAACTGTATTATTCCAGCTTCAGAAGAAGATAGAAGATAGATAGTAGAAGATAATGTGATAAGTCACTTCAATGAATCCATGAATGTTAAAAAGTGGCTATTCAATGAAAAAACGCAGTATGAGATCATCCAGTTACCCACAAGCAGCTTGCAAGTGTTTCAGATGCAAGGCAGTGATAAAACATGAACCCAGTGTATCAGTAATAACACAAGGAGCAAAATGTGCTGCTGTCATGTAGGATTTCACAAAACAGACTCTAGTTCATTCACATCTCAGTTTTTCCCCCTGCATTGTTCCTGTCTCTCTTTATCCAATACTACTACTACTATTTCTTCTATCACTTGCTTTGTTGAAGCATCTCCGAAATCAGTTTTCTCTGAATATGTTTTGCATTTATTGCTCTCACTCTCATCTCACTACTTCTAGATCTAGAATCATAAAAGAACCAACAGCCATCCTCTCTGTTTTTCTCCATCTGAACATTTGACCATGAGTTGGACTTTAGGAGCTTCTGTGTATTTATACTTTCCCAAAAAAATACTAAGAGGAGGACTAAGGGTGATAGAGCTTTTGCCACTGTGGTCCCTAGACTGTGGAACTCTCTCCCCCAAACATTAAGAACTGTGGACTCAGTAGCTGTTTTTAAAAAACAACTCAAAACTTACCTTTTAAAAACTGCTTTTGGTTAATTTTTTGCCTGTTTTATTTTCTCTTTTTAAATCTTTTTATGACTTGTAATCTTATGTGCAGCACTTTGTGATTCTGTCTTGAAAGGTGCTATATAAATAAAAAATTATTTATTTATTTATTTACAATATGGATAGAAATGGCTGTATGCTCATCTCTTTCTTGAAAAGCACTCACCCTGTCTATTGTCAATGGAAATTGTTGCTTGAGCCTGTTTCTTTATTATTTTTGCTTCTGTTTAAAATATTGATATATGTTACTTCTTTGACGTGGCATTAGAAAAACCTTGTAAATAAGAGAATGCTGAACGAGTGCATCATTGTCATTCAGTTAGCCGGCAGCTCAGACTCGTATGAGATGCTGTTTGACGTCATTGCCGATCTGTCTCATTATTGTGCCTTATGTTTACCAGAAGTGAATAATTTCTTTCTTTTTTTTTTACTCTTGCCCTGTAGAATATTGTCATTTACTATCTGCCTGCACCCATGTCAACTCACTGCTGATTATTCTCTCCGTCTTCTTTTGTTCCCCTCCAGGATGAAAAGAACCAAGTGTTGATAACAAATGCCTGGCTGCAGCTGGTACGTCTCACTTTTAAGTCCTTTTTTGGGTGATCGCTGCACAATAATTGTTGTTTAGTATATTTTTGGAAGCCATATGTGGGCTGTGTCATTTATATTTTCAATAAGTGTACACATCTGACTGCTCTTGAAGGCATAGCACAAGCTACAACCAATAACCTTTTGTTTTTAACAAAAACAATTTCTGGGAACAAACAAGAAACAGCACGATGCAGTTTTATGGCAGACATCTTTAACTGCCAAGTATAAAGAAAAAATTATGTTAGGATGGATCACAAAGGATAATATGATATTCTATAATATTTAATAATAGCATGGTATAAGAAGGCTATTTATTGTCAGCATTATAGCAGGGGAAGGTGATAGAAATATATTTTCAAAGATATTCTTTCAGGACTCAAGATTTAAAACACTGGGTTACTTTCTTTTGCCATTTAAGCTTTTCTATTTTACCTTTGTTTTACTCTTAAAAATGATATCTGATTTGACATTCTCAACATTTAAAATACAAATTTTAAATCTTGGTTCCTATTTCAGAACATGATCAAACATAATGTTTTCAGGCAACTCATATTAAAATAACACTTATAATATGTCTTAATTATAGTCATGGCTTGGCTACATCCAGGTCATTGTGCTATGGAGGTGAGGCTAAAGCCACAGAAAAATCAACATCCTCCTCAACTAATACAGTCACACACTGAAATACAAAAATAGTGCCGTTCCTACAGACAGGTGACAAAGAAGGACATTACTTTTTAAGTTTTTAGGCCACTACATGCCAGTCTCTGGGATATTCCTGGACTTATCAGCATTCCCATATTCCCAAAGATATTCTTCCACTTTATATTTTGATAATTGTCTTGGCAGCATTTGTCTAACACATCAATCCAAAATCTCCCATAGGTGCTCAGCTGGGTTGAGTTCTAGTGACTGTGAAGTGACTCACATCCCTTTCATACACATCAAACCACTGAACCATAAACCCCTAGTGTCTTGTGGATAGGTTCATTGTCAGTTTGTCCAGGATCACTGCTGTCAGCACAGAAATATGTCATCATAAATTTGACCACTCAGAACAACTTTGTATTGATCTGTATTTACCGTGTTCCCTAAGGAGGTATGTGGACCAATCCACGCTAACTAAATACTGCCCAAAGCATAACTGCTACACAATGTCTTCATTGTAGAGAGTCAACGGTTCAGAGTTTTACTTTGTTGTGGTGTAGAGGTATTTAATACAAAATATGTAGATTCCTGTTAAAAGTCCATCTGTGAGACTCACCTTTACTGGAAATAACTTGCACTAAGTTGAAGTAATTGTTTCCTGTATGACTTCATTAGTCTCTCATGTCATTGTGGGACAAATTTGATATTGTTGATATATTCCATTTTCTTTTTTTTTTAGTTAATTGAGGTTTGCAGATATTCGTTAATGCAGAGCCCTCCATGGTGGCTGTTAGTCAGGAGGTAGGACAGGTCATATACTAAAAAGAAGGTTGGTAGGTTTGATCCCTGGTTGCACCAGTCTGCTAGAGTATCCTTGAATGAGTTACTGAACGCTGAGTTGCTCTTGATGAGTTCATCGGAATATGAATGTAAGACAGAAAACACTAAGATGTAGAAAAAAATGGTTGTATGAATGTGCGTTTGAATGAGAGATGCTGTATAAAGAGCTTTGAGTGTTCAAACAGGCTAGAAAGGTACTACATAAGAACAACTCCACTTATCTATCCTAAGCACTGCCACATTTCAGGTTGTTGTCTGGACTTTGACTGAGCCATTGCCCATTGTGGATTTCATGACTGCAAGTTGTCCAAGTCCTTTGATTTCAAAACAAGTCCAAATCAGTATCCCTCCACTACTGTGCTTGACAGCTGGCATGAGGTGTTTGTACTGTATGTTGTGTTTGTTTTTTTTGCCAAATGT